TTCAGTATCATTGGCTCTTGATCATATGCTACCTCTTGAAACGGTTGAACATCAACCATTTCCTTTTGGTACAGTGATTCTGTGTATTCCTTCCATCTTCTTTTGATTCTATAAGCACTGAATAAAGACTGAAAAGATATAAGTCATCTTAGAAATTAAAAAGTTAATGATGACCTTAGAAAGGGCATGTTTAATAAAATGGAAGGGATGAAATCAGACCACAGGAAGTTAAGGAATGGCAGGTAGGTAAGAGTTTGTACTGTTTTGTTGTACAAGTATGGAAGATCATATTTTTCCATTCATGAAGGGCCAAACAAAACAAAAGGGTCCAACTACATTAAGTCAGGAGTATGGTGGCTCTACAGTATAAGCACTGAACTAACAACCACAAGGTAAGTGTTTTGAGATCACCAACTGTACCACAGGAGAAAGAAGAGGCTTTCTACTCCCAGAAAGATTTTAAAAAGCCTCAGAAACCCTACACAGGGTCTCTAAGTAAGGTAACATATATCAGTGGATAAAAGAACATTTCTTAACCATCAGAATCAAGCTAAGACACTAAAACGGGTTAAAAGAAGTGTGTAAAATGACCACTAACTCTTCAACAATAAAATATCACTTTTGGATAAAACCTGGACACTCACATGCAAAAGCAGGGGTGCCTGAAGAATAGTTTTTCCAAGGTCCCTTTCAGTTCCATGATACCATGCTGCTTAAGGACAGGACTGTTCACGTTTATTATCAATTTTTCTTTTTGTGTCTATTAACTTCTACTTTTATTGCATTTTCAGTGAAAGTTTACACAGCAAGTTAGGTTCCTGTTTAACAATTTCTAGCCAATTTGTTCTGCAACATTGGTTACAGCTTTCACAGTGTGTCAACTTTCTCATTATTTCCAGTCTGGTTGTTCTGTTTCTAGTAGTCTAGTTTCCCTATCCCCTCTTGCCATCTCATCTTTGCTTTTGAGAAAATGTTGACCGTTTGGTCTTATAATTCCATGAAATAGTTTTGTTTAAGGTTTAGTATCTTAGGGCAATAGACTTGGGAAGTCCTCAGTCTCAACTGACCCAGTAAGTCTGAACTTCTTAAGAATCTGAGCTCTGTTCTATTTTTGTTTCCATTCTATCAAGATCCATCTATTGTGTTCTGTTATCAGAATGGCCAAAGGTGATAAGGGCACCATTTACAGTTATTGTTGTTAAGTGCCATCAAGTTGGTTTTGACTCAGAGCAACCCTGTGTAGGGTTTCCAAAGAGCAGCTGGTGAGCCAGCCTTGGGGTTTACGGTCCAGTGTTGATTCTACAGTGTCACACCAGGACTTATATACATTCCTCCTTTCTAAAAATAGGTTTAAGGTAAGGACTACCCATTCAGTAAAATAAAACAATGTTTTGTTGTTGTTAGATGCCATCAAGTTGGTGCCAACTCATAGTGACCTTAAGCACAGCAGAACAAAACACTGCCCAATCCTGGGCCAACCTTACTATTGTTGCCACGCTTGAGCCCATTGATGCTGCCACTTGGCCAATCCATCTCACTGGGGGTCTTCCTGTTTTTCTCTGATCCTCCACCTTACCAAACATGATATCCTTCTCTAGCAACTGGTCCCTCCTGACATTATGTCCAAAGTATGAGAGACAAAGTTTGGTCATCTTGGCCTCCCAGGCTAAAACAATGTTTTAGGAATAGGTTTTCTTGGACACTCACCTTTTGGTTAGCTCTTTGATTTTCTCCTGATTTCTCTGGTGCTGAACTTGTATTTCCTCAACGCGAATCCGTCTATCTTCCATGAGACCTTCAACTTGTTCTCTAGAAAGCTTGGTCTGTTCCTCCAGCTGAGCCTGCAGGGCTTCCACCTAGAAAAGTCATCAAGGAGTGAGGTATGCTCTCCTGCTTCCATTTCTTTCTTTTTTTTTTAAAGAAATTTTATTGTGAATTGAGTGAAGGTTTACAAAGAAGATTGTCAGTTTCATATCCAACACATCATATACTCTGTTCAATCTCAACTGCAATGCCTTCAATGTAACATTACTTACCCTACTTCCTCTCTGGTGTTTCCTGTTTCCATTTCTCCTTCTTTCCCATGCTTCTGAATTTTGTCTATAAGTAAATGGTGCTCTTTTGATCTTGAATGGTTGACCATTCTATGGTGTTTGTATCTCACACTATTGTCCCCGTATACCTATCTACTGATTGGCTGAAAATTGAGTCTTGGGGGTAAGCTCAGTTACAGACATGAAGTGTAACCAAAGCCATAGTCTCAGGGTTCTACCAGTCTCTGTCTGACCAATATGCCTGAAGATTTTTATTTTGAATTTTGTTCCACATTTTCCCCCATTCTATCCAGGGCCTTCTAAGGTGATCCCTTTTAGAGCAGTTTGTAGTGATAGCCACGCACCATCTAATTTTTCTGGCCTCAGGGTTGTGGAAACTTATGTTCACATGTTCCATTAATCCACTGGACTAGTTGTTTCCAAGAGTCTTCAATTTTCATCACTCCTCTTTCCTCCAAACAGGGAGAGACCAATAGCTGCAGCTTAGACGGCTGCTCAAGAGCTTTTAGGATTCCAGTCACTACTCACTAAGGTAGAATTTAGAACACTGTTCTTGTGAACTATGTTATGCCAGTTGACCATGGTGTACCCCGAGATTATGGTCCTGAGCCTCCAAGTCATCTCTGAAGTTGTTTGGTATTGTTTACAATGTTTTCAATTTTGCCCCCAGTATGTTCCTGGTGTGGTGCTGTAAAATAAGCACTGGACCACAAGCTTGGTTTGGACCACAAGCTTGGTTTGAGCTGCAAGGTCGGTGGTTCAAACTCACCAGCTGCTCCTCAGAAATTCCATACAGAGTCACTATGATTTGGAGCTGACTCAACAGCACTTAACAATATGATCCCCCATATTCATGGATGTTTGCAGCAAAAGTAAATATCCATGCATAAATATCCTCTGTCAAACCTTTACATATTTGTGGGTCTACTCATATCTTTCCACCCAACCCACTCAGCCCATGTTATCTATCCACAGATCACTGTTATTGCAAGATTGTATATATAACAGTATTTACCTTTGTTATGTTTAACTCTTGTACATCTCCCAGTGTCTTCTCTGACCTTCATCATTCTTCTGCCAACCTCTTTCTTGTTGTATATTGCCTTCCCTGTTACCCAAGTTAACATGTGTCTACCCTCTAGCCAGTGAATTATTCCCCCTTCCCATGCATCCCTTGTAACCACCAAAGAATGTTTCTTTTTACTATTGAATGGGAAACAAATTTGCTGTTTATACAATTAAATAACAAAAAGAGAGTTTATATATTAAATACTGTATCAAATGACAGTCTACCAGCACAGACAAGCTTTCCTCTGCAACTCTGAGTATCCCTTAAACCAAACACAAAATAATTTTTACTTTATGATGGTTTTGTTGGGTGGAGATTAACATATAAACGGAATGAACTGAAGGTTCAGACTAGCACTTCTAGAATGGTCAAACAAAGAACAATGGTTTGAAAATACTAGCTCTTTGATATGAGGAACCATCTTATTTTTCTTAACATGATGTCTACCTGAGATCTGTGTGCAAGGAGAGACTTATTACATGATAATAAATGTATGTTATATAAATATAAACTTGGAAAAATATGCCATATGGGTTTGTCAATTCCTCACCTGTAGGATAAGCGTCTGTATGTCTCTTTGGTATTGCTCAGTATTTTCTTCTCTGTCTCTCATTGCTGGTCTTCTTTTACTTACTTTAGGATCTAAAATAGAAAACAAAACTTTACTCATCTTTGTTTCTGCTATACAAATATTGGTATCCATTGCAGAGGAGTTTGATTCCATTTACCTAAAAGAGAAGGTAAGAAAGGAAAAGGAAAGCACACTCCAATTACAGTGCTTAATTTTTCAAACAGGAATCTCTCTAAGGGAACTCTGTAGGATTTCACCTAGATAACAACTACATCTCTTTTTGTAGAAAGAACTATTAGATTTTCCTTCAGAATTATATCTATTTTCTCTATGAAGTTCTATTTAATCAGAAAGGGCAAAGAATGAAAAGAGCTGTTTTAAACACTTTGGTTATGAGGTATTATTCAATATTCAGAAGATCTGATGACTTTAAAAATAAGCAGCACTAAAATTGCACTGAACAAGATTTAATTCCTTTGAAGATTCGAGAAGCTCAGTAGGATCTTAGACCATCATTATGGACATTGTTTAACCCAAACCAAACCCACTGTCTTCAAGTCAATTCCAGCTCATACAATCTAGTTATTGGCACTGTGCTTTAGAATTCTGAAATCAATGAGAATTTAAAATAATATGTTTGTTACCTGCTTTTAAAGTTGAAGATTCATTCTGTTCATGTTTATTTAAAGTCTGGATAGTCTTTTGGGGAATGGTGACCTGAAGAAGCAAAAAAATATGTAGAAGTGACACTTTTATAAATGTAGTATTTCACTTTTTAGACTTAGTTCCATATAGCTGAAGCACTATTCAGAAGTCACATGGGTTAAAAATTTTTTAAAAACATTTTATTGTGCTTTAGGTATAATTCTACACAGAAAATTTGTTTCCCATTCAACAATTTATACACAGATTGTCCCCTGGCATTGGCAGCTGTTCCTGCAATGTGTCAGCATTCTCCCCATTTTCATCTCTCCACTTTCCATGCCCTATCTTGCCGCCTTATCTTTGTTTTGGGCTAAATGCAAATTAGTCAAAATTGGAATAAGCATAGAAGGATGTCATGAATATAAGAGGATACACAGGGATAAAATTGGATAAAATACACTCCTGGTGGTACAAACAAAAAAATTCATAAAATAAAATTCCAGGGCTATTTAGCAATAATTGACCAGAGCTTTTAGGAACTATTTAATAGAAACACAGAAGTATACATATGTATATATGTATAGAGATGCTCATGGAGTAAGTTTATAAAAGTAAAACAAAAATAGTGCACACACAAAAATATTGCTATGAGTGGGAAGAGTTGAAACCACACATAATAAACTATTAATAATGGTTTATTCTGGGGTACAGGATTATGAGAGACTGCCCCCTTTTTAAAAATGTTTTATTAATGTAAATTAAGTGATAGTTTACATGGGAGAACATTAGCTTTACATTCATCCTATTGTGTATCATTTCATTGCCATGGTTACAATCCCCTTCATACATCATCAAACAACCTGAGGGTATACCCTGCAAGCCTGCCTCCCGGTCATCAGCACACAGACCCTCTCCCTCTCTAGGTCTAGAGTTCCCAGCCACTCCATCTCTCCATGACATTGTCTCTGCCTCCATCTCTGGCATGACTGTTTCTCTGGGTAGGGTCCCACACTCCGCTTTTCTCCCTTGATGGTCCCATGGACCTGCGCTCCTGGACTGTAAAGTCAATCACTTCCCCCTTTTCCTACAAAACATCTACCTTTACATTTCCAACCCTCACGGTCAGTCCTGATAATAATTATTCACTATTGTAACACAAGAGACCTATCCCAATCTCCTTTCATCAGCCCCACCCAGACAGACTGGATACTACTTAGTGGAGATTCTACCTTCCTCTGTGCCCTCTGGTTCTAGGCTCCCCCCCCCCCCTTTTTTTTTTTTTTTTTAATGTTTTATTGTAAATTATGTGATAGTTTACATGGGAGAATGTAAGCTTTATATTCATCCTACTCTATATCATTTCATTGCCATGGTTACAATCCCCTTCATGCATCATCAAACAACCAAAGGGTATATACCCTGCAAGCCTGCCCCCTGGTCATCAGCACACAGCCCCTCTCCCTCTCTGAGTCTAGAGTTCCCAGCTGCTCCATATCTCTATGGCATCATCTCTGCTTCTATCTCTGGTGTCACTGTTTCTCTGGGTAGAGTCCTGCATTCGCTCTTCTCCCTTGATGGTCCCAGGGACTTCCGCTCCTGGACTGCATGGTCAATCTCTCCCCTCCTTTTGCTACAAAATGTCTACTTTTACATTTCCAACCCTGACAGTCAGTCCTGAGAGCAATTATTCACTATTGTACCACAAGATTCTGGATGGGCTTCAGGATTCCACCTATGGTCTTACGTAATATCCCCATCTCCTTTCATCAGTCCTGCCCACACAGATTGGATACTCAGTGGAGATTCTACCTTCCTCCACACCCTCTGGATCTAGACTCCCTCTTAAAAGCTTATAAGCCAGTTACTTCTTGCCTTTGTAGCCCTCCCCCCACTATTTTGAGTAGACAATGTCCAAATTGCCCATCCCGTCTACTCTGCACATGGAGGGGGTGGGAATGATCCTTGCTGTAAAGATTTGTTCCCTCTTTTGAGCTATTGCATCCATAGGTGTAGGTCAAATTCATCAAATTGTATCAGATTGTTCTTTTTTTCCTCTTCTGTTGTTGTTGTTAAGTGCCGTCGAGTCGGTTCCGACCCACAGCGACCCTACACAGGGTTTCCGAAGCTATAAATCTTTACGAGAGCAGAAAGCCTCTTCTTTCTCCTGTGGAGCAGCTGGTAGTTTCGAACTGCTGACCTTGCGGTTCACAGCCCAATTCGTAACCACTACACTACCAGAGCTTCTTTTTCTTCTTCTAGTTGAGCTTTAATCATCCAGTCATTGAAGCCAGATCAAGTGGTTATTATCTGCGAGTGTGGGTGTTCTTATGCACATACCCTCTCATCTCATCAGCTGGACACTTCACTCTCCACTCTAGTCCTCTATGGCTATGTCACTCACTCTGGGCCCAAGAGTCCCCAGTTCTTGCTACACTGCTGGCTAACCAGGTCTCCACCCAGGTTCACAGGAATCTATTGAACATTGTAGAGCTTAGTTCACAGATTCATTGCTGTTTTTCCCTCACTTCCCCTTATTAGTGAGTAATCAGAGCGCATTTCTGCTCGTGTATTCCCATTGATTCTTGGAAGGAGGTTTGCTGTGAGGGGACCCGAACACTTGCCTTGATGTCACCTGAGCAGGCAACTTGTTTGTTCTTGTAGTAATCAGTTGGACTGTCTTTCTTTCATGAAGTATCTTCTGTTCTTCTAGCTGCTCCAGGCTGATCTACTTGTCCTTTCAAGTGGAAATTTCCCACCTCTGAAGATTCTGGATGGGGTTCAGGATTCCATCTATGGTCTTACGTAATGCAAAGGCTCCGCTGGAAGCCTCCTTCACTAGGCACACTGTAGCCCCATTTTAGGTATTCCAATCAGTTATAGGCAGAAGATGGACTTACAGGCTTTCTATGGTAATATTTCTGGCTATTCCTTTCTCTCCCCCTCAAGTGTCTACTTTATAATGGTATGCCAGGGAAACCAAGATTCAAAAGACAGCCAAGCATCTTAACATTATTTCCCCCCTTTTTCCCATTCCAACCACATCTTAATCTCTGTATCCCACAGCCCTATTGTTCGAAGGTTGTGCATACATCATTATTTACCTCTGTCTCACTTAGCCCATGCAAACCTGCCTAATTGTTTTCCCATCCTCCTTGTTTTTCCATTCCCCTCCTCCTTCTTGTGTATTGCCCCCCTCCCTAGCACCCAAACTATCCTGTATCTATTCCCTACCCTGTGCTCTGCCTTCCGTTCCCTTCCCTCACCCCACCCTCCACATCCCGGTAACCAGCAATGAATCCCCACCCCCACTTTAGTATGGGTTCTTTTTCTTAGTCTTTTACAGTAGTGGTCCTATGCAGTATTTCTCCTTTTGTGACTGACTAATTTCACTCAATATAATGTCAAGGTTCATCCATGTTATGTGGTAGCTTGCAGCTTCCTTGTTATTCTTTAAGGTAGCATAATATTCCATTGTGTGTATGTACCACAGTTTGTTTATCCATTCTTCAGTTGATGGGCACTTAGGCTGTCTCCATCTTTTTGCTATTATACATAGTGTTGCTATGAATATTGGTGTGCATATATCTACTCTTGTTATGGCTCATATTTCTTGTGGGTAAATACCAAGTAGAGGAACTGCTGGATCATAAGGTATCTCTATTTCCAACCTTCTGAGCAAGCGCCATATTGCTTTCCAGAGAGGTTGGACCATTTTGCAATCCCAGCAGCAACGCAGCAGTGTCCCAGTCTCTCCACATCCCTACCAGCATTTATTGTCCTCTACTTTTTTGATCTTTGCTGTTATTGCTGGTATGAGATGATATCTCATTGTTGTTTTGATTTGCATCTCTCTAATGGCTAGTGACAGTGAACATTTCTTCTTATGTTTGTTGGCTGCCTGGATCTCCTCCTTGGTGAAGTGTCTGTTCATGTCCTGTGCCCATTTTTCAATTTGGTTATTTGTCTTTTTCCTGTGACAGTGATGTAGTTTCCTATATATTTTAGAAATGAGTCTCTTGTCTGATGTATCGTTGCAAAAGATTTTTTCCCATTTTGTAGGTTCCCTTTTTACTCTTCTGGTGAAGTCTTCTGATGCACATATATTGTTAAGTTACATAGATGTATTTGCAATAATAAACGATAATATAATGAAAAAAGGAAAAGTATTGCAACCTAGTTATAAGTAATGATATAGTAAAGAAGCCTGCAAAACAAAACAAAAAAGCAAACAAGTAAGAACATTAAAAAATAAAAGATACTGTCAAGTCGATTCCAACTCATTTCAACCCACTGACTACAGAGTAAGATTGCTCCACAGGATTTTCTTGGCTGTAATCTTTATAGGAGCCGATTGTCAGAGTTTTCGTCTATGGTACTACTGGGTAGGTTCAAACTGTTAACCTTTAGGTTAGTACTTGAGTACAAACCATTTGCACCATTCAGTATCCAAAAGAAGTATACAAAGAGCACTTAATCCAAGCATGGAGGAATGTGCTGTATTATTTGATAGAAAAAGGAATGCCAAAATGAAGAACTGGTATGATCATGGCACAGTGTCTTCAATGTGCAGAACACCTATTTAAAGAATGAAAAGCGATCGAATGCTCCTGAAGCAAAGCTTTGAACTGGTTGGAACTGGTTTAGTAATGGCTGATAAGGTAAAATCAACCCAGAATTCAACTTTTAAAATTTGGGTGAAGTGGAACAACAATCAGAATGAAAAATTAGAGGTTAAAGTCCTGGAATGGGAGACTCAGAAAAGGCATGTTGTTGTTATTAAATGCCATCGAGTTGGTACCGACCCATAGCAACCATATGTGGGGTTTCCAAGGAGTGGCTGGTGAGCACGAACCACTAAACTTGCAGTTCAAATTGACTTTATGGTCCACCACATTAACCCACAGTGCCACACCAGGACTCCCTGAAGAGGGATACTGAGCCCTTTTAGAAGACTTTTAGGTGTAGGAGACTGGATTATTTCCAGAACTGTGGAGAGCAACATACATTCAAAGCTCGGTTGTCTGCCACCACCTTTGAGTGGGAGACTCTTGTTTTCGACTTTGCCAGTCTAGGGATTTGGTTGCTATGCAATACACATACTGCCTTCTTTTCTAAGAGGGAAATTAAGTTTCTAGCAGAGCATCAACCTGTTATTTTTCCCATTCTGATTCTTTTCCAAGTTTGTCCATATTTTACAAATCCAGGTCTGTTTTGTTTTTTTTTTGTTAGCCATTACTAAACGAAGATTTAAGTCTTTACATTCAACCCATCGTACATCGTTTCATTGCCATGGTTACAATCCCCCCATCATCAACCAGGCAGAAATGATGATGTGGAGAGATAGAGCAGTTGGGGACTCTAGACCCAGAGAGGGAGAGGGGCTGTGTGCTGACAACTGGGGGTAGGCTTTAAGAGTATACCCTTTGGTTGGTTGATGGTACACATAAGGTATTTTTTAATGTTTTATTGTGAATTATGTGATAGTTGCACATAAATTTTTAATCTTTAGTATGTCCCAATCATTTATTTTGTCTACTTTTGTTTGTATAGTTTTCAAAATGTTTGGTAGTCTGTGTATTCCCTGAATTATTGCCCTCACATTTGTCCCTAGTTTTTCATTGATGGCCTTCATAATTTTGGGATTCACATTTAGGTCAAGACTGCCACTTTTATATGACACTTTGTGTGTCTGTTTTTAATAAAGACCATGTATTACTTTTACATCTAGTATAAACAAAGATTACAGAGAAACTGAAGTACTGAAACATGCCTCCATACTGTCTGCTAAGGCTTTTCTCTCTTATCTTGGTACAACATATACTACTCTGTGTTTTAGGTTTCTAGACGATAAAATGGGGTAAACAATGCTACTTTCTAGAGTTTTTCAAAGAAAAGAAAACTATAATGCTTTCTGTAGTTATAGAAAAGTTCTCTACAAACTCAAGTAAATTTGAGACTATTATGGCTAAATCTCCATCTATCTTCTTTAGCATGTACCAAAGTTGTTTGAATTATGGACCCTAGCCTATATTTTATAAAAGCCATACTCACCATGCTACACCAAAGATTTACTTACTTTGTGGGGAGGCTCCTTATAAAAATAGGTCACTTCTCCAGTATCTGTTCCCACAAGAACCAAGAGACTTTGAATCTTTTTCTTGTCTTCTACTTCCCTGCAATTCCCATGGAAAGTAAGTACAAATTATGTGTCAAGAATAAGCAACTTTTTCTGCTAAAAGTATCTCCATACTGACTGACTTATTTTTAAAATAATAGTAACTTCAAATGAAAATTGAATAGGATTCATCTAGACTCTGGCTCTAATTTTTAAAAATGTCAGGTATTTGTATTCAGTACAGCAAAAAGAGCCAGAAAATAATTTAGCTAGTCCTGGACCACAAGGTCAGTCTGAACTGCAAATTTGGTGGTTCAAACTCACCAGCCTCACCTTGGAAACCTTGAACAGGGAGGGTCACTGCGAGTCAGAACTGACTCGACAGCACTTAACAACAACAGAAGGAAACTGTGGAGGATGCTGGGGTGTACTACCCAAATGACCCTCAACAGGACTGATGGGCTCATTCCCCCAACTGCCAGGAATGTTGCCTATGATGCCTCATAACTAAGTCTCGCTCCAGGACTGCCCTAAGCCTAAGGGAACTGCCTCTCCTGCGTCCCAAGCTTATGCATCCCCTTCCTCTGTGACAGCCTGCATCCACTGCTTGGTTAATCGGGGGGTGGGGGGAAGGGAAGGAGAGGTACAAAAGCTCAATGTCTTTGATTCAATTCAGGATATCTCTGAGCACCATCTTCAATGAGACCACCAGCCATTAGGTGGCAAGTTAAGTATAATGAACTCTGAAAGAGGCAGTAATTTATCTTGTCAAGTGATTTATCTGATATATATTCCAGATATGGGTTTGCTTTTTCTGTCTTTAGCTGAGGCCACTATTCAAGGACTTAATGTGTTGATCCACTGACATGGAATCCTATAGTACACTACAACAAATCAAAGGATTCATTGTACAGCAAAGGTGATACAAAAGTGGGCACATACCAACATGATCTACTGCCCTACATCACCCAGAAGGTATCAGCCTGGGAGCAAAGGAAGAAGCCTTTTAAAGGTGTAGGTGAAGTGCCAGCATAGAGATGATTCCTCTAGCTGACGGGATCCCATTCTCCAAAATGCAGTTGTTGTTGTTGCTGTTAAGTGCCCTTGATTTGGTTCTAACCCATAGCGACCCTGTATAGGGTTTCCAAAGAGCAGATGGTGAGTTTGAACCGCTGACCTTGCAGTTCAAATGGCTTTGCAGTCTTGCGCATTAACACACAATGCCACACTAGAACTCCCCAAACTGCAGTGTTGTTGCTGTTAAGTGCCGTCGAGAGTTGATTCCGACCCATAGCGACCCTATATAGGGTTTCCAAGGAGCAGCTGGTGAGCTTGAACCACTGACCTTGCAGTTCAAGCGACTTTGAAGTCTGATACATTAGCCCACAACGTCACACCAGGACCCTAAATCAACAATGGTTAGATGGCACTGTGTTCCCAAAACATATTATACACAGGTTCATAAGCCAAAGGGTAGAAAAATGAATGACTTCAGTTATCATCACTCAGGAGATTTTTGTTTTCTTCCCCACAGTCTCTAGGCTCTGGGGTTCTAGAGGTCCTGGTTCCTGAGGAGAAATACATCCACCATGAAACACAGCAAGAGTCCATTAGGACTTCATGCTGTATCTGCCACTCCATCATGTCGGGCTCCTTGTTCAAGAGACCAGAAGGCAGAAGAAACATTCCAGGCCAGGCAGGAGGACTGACTGAATCCACAGGAGGTGATTGAGTCAGCGGCAATGGGTGTTCTGTTTAGGGTTGCTGACTTAAGACTTGGCACCCACTGCAGAAGCTATGACTCAAAAAGGGCTTGATGACAGAAATTCAGACCCTTCAGGGATGAGGGTTTGCACACCCCACCAGATTAATTACCTGGATAGCAGAGGTGCCATCTAAAGGAAATGCAGAAAAATAGTAAAAAAGGTAGAAAGATAACCAATATAATTTGTGATCTTGATATCAGTTACAGTAAACTGGCTGTGATTCATTCTCTAACCTTTTTTCCCATTTAACTTAACAATTCAACTGCTATGTACAATTCAGTGATGTGTTTTCAACCATTTATACCCTCTCCTTTTCTGAGGCATTTCTCCTCCATTAACATAAACTCACTGCCTCCCTAAGGCTGCTATCCCATATTTTGAGTTCTCCTATCTAGTTCTTGGAGTCCCGGTGTAGCGCTGTGGGCTAATGCATCAGACAGCGAAGTCGCATGCCCTGCAAGGTCAGTGGTTCAAGCGCACCAGTTGCTCCTTGGAAACCCGATACAGGGTCACGATGGGTCAGAATCGACTCGATGGTACTTAACAACAACAATCTAGTTCTTAAAAAGAACATAATGTTCAGTTACTTTTAATAGTTTAGCTAAGCTATTGTTCAGTTTTAAGGAGACCAGATTTGGTTTAAGTTTTAAAGCCTATCTCAGGAGTTCATCCAGCTTCCATGGCTCCAGAAAAGTCATAAGAAATTGAAATTCTGATCTGCCCTTTCCTCCTTTCAATCAGGATTTTCCTATGGAATCTTTGATCAAAATGTTCAGTAATGGTAGCCAGGCACCATCCAGTTTTTATGGTCTCATGGCAAAGGGGGCAGTTGTTCATAGAAGCAATTAGCCACACATTTCATATTCTCCTTCTATTCCTCACTCTCCTTCTTCCTCTGTTGCTCCAGGTGAATGAAGGCCGAATGTGTTTTGGATAGCCACTTGCAAACTTTAAAGACCCAGGCACTACACAAAAAGCAAGGAGGTAGAACAGAAGCACTAAACATGTTATTAGCCATAAACAGGGTTGTCCAAGGAAACCATAAGTCTAAACCTTCAAACCAAGGATCCAAATTCCAAGAGGTGTTTGATTGTATATAAGCAGCCTCAGCAGCTGCTCTTATTTTTGTCATTGTTGTATATATATTTATTATATAACTTTTGCCAATTCAATTTTTTTATAGGAGTACAACTTATTGACAACTATTACAATAATTGGTTGTGCAACTCTACACTTAATCAGAGTGATTTTTCCATCACCATAATCTCCACCCTCTCCTCCTTCCTTCCAGCATCTGGGCTGTTGTTATTGTTAAGTGCCGTTGAGTTGGTTCTGACTCATAGCAACCCTGTACAGGATTTCCAAGGAGCAGCTTGTGAGTTTGAACTGCTGATCTTGCAGTTCAAACCAACCTTTCAGTGACCACTAATAAACTTTGGTCTCAATACATTTGCTTTTTCGTCTTTTTATATAAGTGAGGTCATATAATATCTGCCCTTTTGTGATTGGTTGATTTCACTCAATATGTCTTTAAGCCCATCCACATGGTAGCATTTATCAAGACACCCATTCCCCAGGAGCTGAGTCCTTCCCAGGAATTGCCCTTGCCTGAAGGTTGCTTCTCATCCAAGTTTTTATCCTCTCCCTGGGGGCAGTCTGTATCCAATGAACAGTTCATGTGGGAACACAGAAGTCCAACCCCTTTGCTTCAGAAAGGCCACTGTAGCTCTCTATAGTGTTGGCTAAGGCTTCTGTTACCACAGCACTGCAGTTCAAATTGTCCCTCTGCTCATATGTCTCATAGATGTTATTCCTGAGAGCCTCCCCAGTAACCACCCTGCAAGCAAATCTCCATCTCAGAGTCTGTTTCCTGCGAATATAACCTAAGTGAATGACTGTAGAGAAATTTATCATGTCTAGAGTGATTAAAAATTGTAACCCCTACATTTCCCTCCTCCAATTCAGTACCTGATTCTCAGTCGGTCATTTTCTGAGTAGAGACGTAAAACATGTTCTCGTTCCTGGAAAAGGCAGATCTGCATGTCACTTAAAGCTTTCTGCAATTCAGTAATCTCTTCCTCCTTCTGCTGCAAATCCCATTCTAGTTTATGCTGCAAGAAAAACAAACCCGTAAACGAATGATTTTTGTGTAAATCTATTCCTAAGTGAATAATTTCATCAATACCAATTTCAGTAATAGACTATGTATAAACTTGAGTTTAAAAGCTACAGGATGAGTCTCAAATTTGCATATAATGCCAAAGCTAATTTTCTTTTAGAGAGCTGCTGTTGTTAAGTGCCACTGAGTCCATTCTGACTCATGGTGACCTTGTATAGGGTTTTCAAGGAGCAGCTGGTGAGTCTGTACCACCGACCTTGTGCTCAAACCAACCTTGAGGTCAAGTGGGTATCCTATGGCACCACACCAGGACTCCTTTGAGAGATTATAGAACCCCAAATTCCATAGACTCACATGTTCTAATCATATGTTGTTGTTGTTCTTAAGTGCCGTCCAGTCGGTTCTGACCCATAGCGACCCTGTACAGGGTTTCTGAGGGTGTAAATCTTTACGGGAGTAGAAAGCCTCATCTTTCTCCTGTGGAGCAGCTGGTAGTTTCGAACCACTGACCTTAAGGTTCACAGCCTGATTCGTAACCACTATGCTACCAGAGCTCCAGTCTAATCATATACATATATATATATATATATATATATTTTTTTTTTTTTTTTAAGTTTTTATTGTGATGTTTACATGGAAGAATATCAGTTTTACATTCATCCTATCGTATTTTGTTTCATTGCAATAATTACAATCCCCTCATGCATCATCAAATAACTAAAGGGTACACCCCAACATGCCTGCCCCTGGCCGTCAGCACACAGCCCCTCTCCCTCCCTGAGTTTAGTGTCCCCAGCCACTCCATCTTTCCACATCATCAGCTCTATCTCCATCCCTGGCATCTCTGCCTCTCTGGGTAAGGTCCTGCTCTCTGCTCTTCTCACTTGATGGTCCCAGGGACCTCTGCTCCTGGGCTGCAAAATCAATCTCTCCCTTCCTTTTGTCAAAAAAATCTACCTCTGTATTTCCTACCCTCACAGTCAGTCCTGATGGCAATTATTCACTATCGTATCACAGAGTCTTATCCCCATTTCCTTTTGCCAGCCCAGTCCCAACAGATTGGAAATCATTCAATGGAGACTTAGCTCACAACTTCATGGTTGTTTTGTCGCCCTCTTCCCCTTACTGGTGATCAACGTGGTCACCAGCCAGACCACCTCCCCTTGAGTCTCAGTTTTGTAAGGGAGTTTGCTCTGAGGGGTCCCGACCACTTCTAATCATATATTTTTTAATGTTTTCTATATGTAATGAATAAGAAGTCCTGGTAGTACTTAGGATAAGTACTGGGCTGCTAACTGCAAAGTCAGCAATTCAAACCCACCAGCCACTCTTCAGGAGAAAGATGAGACTGTCTATACCCGTAAAGATTTACAACCTCAGAAACCCTACACAAGGTCACTATGAGTAAGAGTGAGTCCATTATATATAAAACGCAGTGAGTTTCTTAAGTAGTAACTATTGTTATAACACTCTAGAAAACAAACATGAACATGATATGATTTTTGCCTACAAAGAGCTTACGAATTTTGTGGGGATGCAGACAAGCAAACACCTAAAATAAAATAATTATCTAATGAAGGAGTATGCTCGGTAAGCTGGAGAAAGCTGCAGCAGGAGTCTAACAGCTCTGAAGCTTGTTTGGGAAGTCAGAGACCACCACCTAAGAGTTGAAAATGGAAAGATGGCTAAGAGACTGCTAGAGAGATAAACAGAGGCTGGGCACATTTTGCTGTTGTTAGGGGCTGTCAACTGGGTTCCAACCCATAGCCTAGATACAACAGAATGAAACACTGTATCATCTGCATACCACAGGTTGTTAATGAATCTTTCTCCAATCCTAATGCCATGTTCTTCTTCATACAATCCAGCATATGAAGATTGAGTAAGTATGATAAAATAATACAACCCTGCTCAGCATACAAACTGAGTAAGTGTGGTAAAAGAATACAACCCTCATACACACCTTTCCTGATTTTAAACCATTCCATTTCCCCTTGCTCTGTTTGGTCTAAATACAGGTTCCTCATGAGCACAATCAAATGTTCTGGAATACCCATTTTTCACAATGTTCTCGATAGCTTTTCATGTTCCACACAGTTGAAAGCCTTTGCAGAGTCAATAAAGCCAACCAGAGAGGTTTTGCCATGGATTGAATTGTGTCTTCCAAAACTATGTGTTGTAAATCCTAATATACCTGTGGTCAATCCCATTTGAAAATACAGTTTTCTGTTATGTCTGTTATTGTTGTTGTTAGGTGCCCTTGAGTTGGCTTTGACTCATACGGACCATGTATAGAGTTTCCAAGGCTTTAAATCTTTGAGGAAGCAGAAAGTCTCATTTTTCTCACACAGAGTGGCTGGCACACTCAAATCTTGGACCCTGTGGTTTGCATTCCAGTGCTTCTCATATGGAATCACATGTTCCCTTTGTTATGTTGTTGTTGGTAATTGTCAAGTCAGTTTCGACTCATAGCTACCCTGTGTAGGGTTTCCAAGGAGCAGCTAGGAGGTTTGAACTGCTGACCTTGTGGTTCGCAGTCCAGTACTTATCCTACAGCACCAGATTGCAAAGCCATTTGAAATTAAAGATCGGCGGTTCATGCTAACCAGTCGCTCTTAGGAAACCCTATACATGGTTGCTGTGGGCCGGAACCGACTCGACGGCACTTAACAACAATAACAACAACCACACCATAGGGTGTGTTTTCAGTCAACTTTTTTTGAGATTTTAAAAAGCAGATTACATGATAGCTCCAAGGAATCAGGAAACAGAAGCTGAAAGATGATAAGGACCTTCTGGAAGGCCAAGAAAGAGAGAAAGCCTTCCCCTAGAGCCTGCACTCTGAATTCGCACTTCTGAAAATAAACTTCTGATGGCTAAAGTCACCTACTTGTGGTATTTCTATAACAGCAGAACTAGATAATCAAGACAGGCGTGAAACTGGAGGCTAGAATACCAGTATGAAGGGTAATCTCCATACAGTAAGAGTCTGAACTAACACTATGAGAACAGTGATGGAGATGTGGCAATGGAAACAAAGTATTTAGAAGCTTAATCAATTGGACTTGCCAGACAATTGAGTATAAGGGGCTGGATAAAACTGTCAGCAGGGATACTAAGACACAGAACACAGAATAAAGGAAAAGTTAAGGGGTAAGGAATGGGGGAGTAGTAGTGGTATGTATGTGTGTTGGGAGACAAGTTAGAAAAAGGACATCAGTTCAAATAGGGATGTGTTCACTTGTCACTTGGGAGAAAAGTTTGATAAGGGCTAATTATTTGGAAGTTACTACTACATACGTAGCAGGAAGATGCATGGCTAACTAAGATCATGTGTTGTGGAATCTAGAAGAACTGAAAAAGGGGAGCTGTAAAGAATAGGTCAGAGACATAAACTAGACACCAGGAATTAAATTGACACAGAAATGGGATTTTTAGGAAAGGAGAAGACAACAGTGACAAATACCACAGAGGTCAAAAAAAGAAGAGCTGATCATCGCAAAGAGGTACCTGGAGACCATGGGAGGAGTTGTTTCAGTGAAGTAGTAAATACAGAGACCAAACTGAACTCACCAAGTCATTAAATAGGTGAGAAAGTCAGACTTTTCTGGAAGTGGGGCTGGGAAAAGAAAGGCATCTATCTTCACAGACACACCTTGTTAGACTGTGCTTGCTGATATTGTGGGTTTTTTTGTTTGTTTGTTTGTTTTGAATAAATTGAAGGTTTTCAGCAACTCTGGGCTGAACAAGTCTGTTGGCATCATTTATCCAACAGCATGTCCTCATTTCGTGTCTGTGTCATAGTTTGGTAAGTCTCATATTTCCAGTATTTCAACCAATAATGCTATTACATACTGAAAAGACTACAGTATAGTGTAAACATAACTTTTATAAACACTAGGAAACCAAAACAATATGTGTGACTTGCTTTATTACAATATTCGCTTTATTGTAGTGGTCTGGAAACAACACAGTATCTCTGAGGTATGCTTATGTAAGAGAGTTGGTAGAGGGGTAAGTGTAACAAAGGGAGGGATTTTTGTTTTTCTTTTCTTTTAAATTGGGAAACCCTTGAGTATGTTAATATATTACAGAGAACAAATCAATGTCAAACAAGAAGTTTAAAAGATAACAAAAAGGGGGAGAAATGATGGAGTGCCTTTCTTAAGAGGCCCAAGAGCAGGGGCCAGAGTTTAATGTTGAATCAATTCCGCCTGAATAGACAGAGACACCTTGTCTCCTGAAGCGTTAAGAGATGGCTATAGATACAGGTAGCTAGGTGAGGATAGGCAGGAAGAGAGTTCATAAATGAGTCTCAATTTCCTCTGTGAACTAAGAAGTAAGACTATCTGTTGAGAGAGGAGGATTAAAAAGAGGTTGCAGGTTGCACATTTGTGAAGGGACAGATGTGGAGGGAGAGGAGAATGGGCAAGGAAACTAACTATAGATGGGATAGAAAAGCGCTGGGTAGTGACTGAGGGTGACAGCTGAATTATTTAACATCAACGTATTTTATAACGTTTTGTGATCTTTTCCCAACAGCAGTTCTCAATCAGGGGCAATTTTAGCTCTCTTCTCCCCACCCAGTCCAGGGGACATCTGGCTATGACAACAAAGAATTACTTGGCTCAAAATATCACTAATATTGAGACTGAGAAGCCCTGCCCTAGGAGAATAGTTGGTAGACAACTGGAGTAAGTCACAACTGTGGTGGTGGTGGTGTTCCATGGAGTCGGTTCTGACTCATAGCGACCCTGCACTGGGTGGAGCAAACAAGGGGTCATGTGCAGGCAGTACTGTTACTGTCGTGAAGCATAGTAAAGTCTAGGCTAGAAGAAAAAGACATGGTATCAGACATGTTGTTGTTAAGTGCCTTCAAGTCAATTCCGACCCATAGCGACCCTGTATAGGGTTTCCAAGGAGCAGTTGGTGAGCTTGAACCACCAATCTTTGCAGTTCAAATGACTTTGCAGTGTGACACATTAACCCACAGCACCACACCAGGTAGCAGCTACAAAGCGTTTCAAAACCCAAACTCACTGTCGTTGAGTTGATTCTGGCTTTTAGCAACTTTATAGGACAGAAGAGAATTACTCCATAGGGTTTCCAAGACTGTAAATCTTTACAGGCGCAGACTGTCACATCTTTTTCCCACAGAGTGACTGGTGAATTTGAACCACCAATCTTATGATTAGCAACCTGATGCTTAACCAACTGTGACACCAGAGCTCCTTATGAAGAACTGTGAAAACTGAAACATCAAGGCGCTATGGAGGTATAATTGTGACATTAGAGTAGTCGGGTGTAATGGGGTAAAATAACTGGGAATATGTAAGAGAGACTGAGCTCTCAGAGTTTAAGGTTTTAGACGTGAAAGCAGTTCTGCAGGGATTACAATCCAAGGAGGGACCTAGAAGGTGGGTTGCTGAGCTGAGATAGAGAAGGAAATCAAAACTGATTATTTTTTATGAAATATCTGCATGTGACACAAGGTAGCACTTCAAGATCTTCTCTCACTACTGAACAGACATAATTACTCAGAGTCCTAAAAGGGCATGCACTGACTCTTTCTTACCTGCCCTTCACAAGCTTCTTTGTACAGTTCCAGTTTCTTCAGTAGATCCTCATTTTCTGTCTCACATTCGGCCATCTTATTTTTAAAATATTCCAGAAGCTCCTGAGAAGGACAGAGGACGGCGAGGCGGTCTTCAATGGAAGGCAAAGGTGAATCTGAATCTGGGAAAGACATTCCCCTCCACCTGGTGGAACCACTGAACCTGGAGGAAACACTGTGTTTGGAGTCAACTGTTAGCACATGTGAAATTAGAAAGGATATATTCACTGAGGTGTCTGAACATTTATGCGATACGAATTTAATAAAAAGGAGGCTTATGTTTCTTAAAGTGCTAATAATTAAGGTGTAATTAATTCTTTAACGTTTGATGTTACAATAAATAATCTTATGAACTGCCTTCCAATTATTAATGGCTTGAACCTAGATTTAAAGTACAAGTTAGAGACTAAAAACAGAATACTAACTAAATAAAATCATATATCAACAATTAGAAAACGTAACACTAAGCTACACAGCAATCAGGGCACTTATACGAGACTGCTTATAGAATGGTAACAAATATAACTACAGAAAGCAAATGTAGAATCTAATAAAACTGCATTCTTCTTGTCCTAGAGAAACTTGTGCACAAGGTGACGTATAGGAAAGTGTTCATGTTTTACTATTACACTGTTTATAATAATAGTAAACAACCCAAATGTCCATTTTCTAGAAAAACGGATATGTAAACTATGGTATATTATACAATGGAATATATTTTAATTTATTAGAAACCATGAGCTAGAGATACATGAATGAATAGATATGAACCGTACAAACATACTAAATGGAAAAATGTATGTAGATGTATACAAAGAAGATGCTACCATTTAAGATCAAAACTTAAAAAATAATAGTTTGTTTTTAGTAAGGCATGTATGTAAGAAGCAAAATTATTAAGGAAAAGAATGATAAACATAAAAATCAAGATTAGATGATGATCTTCTCTGAAAACCTTCACTCAATTCACATAAAAAGTTCAAAAAAAAAAATCAGAATTAGAACATAGTTGTATGGTTACACAACCACAGCAGATCCTAGTTTCTAGGGATCTGAATTCCACAGCTAGGTTTAGATGTTATAAATGGCAAAAGACTCTGATGAAAGGCTGGACAAGAAGTGTTTGGTTAGTTGTTTGCTTGCCTTTAGCAAACAAGAGACTTAAGCTAAAACAATGAGTTAAGAAACATATGATACAGAAATGGAGCAACCCTCATGTGAAAATTAATCCAGTTTGGTTAACTGCATGCAATTTACAACATAACAAAATAAACAGCAGCATGGAGAAACTTTACACTACCAGTAGTCCACAGTTGCAAGTAAAGAAGATTGCTGCCAGTGCTCTTAGTAAGTGAGCATTTATAGGAGAGAATTTAAAATGTACTCTTCGCTACTAGCATAAAGAAGAAGAAAAACAACTAACATTTTCTCTCAATAATCAAAAGCTTGTGACAGAAATACTTGTTTACTTCATGTTTCATGTTTTCAATTTTAATAAGCCTGGGAAATAGTTTAATATTCAGAGATATTTCAGTTGTGTTACAGAAAAGAGTTGTGGCAACAAGAGATGAAGATGACACAACATGCAGCGAGCTGACGGCGCAATCAAAATGAAAAGTCCTCTGTTTGTGCACTTGTTGTTCCACTATAGTCCAGTGCCCACTGGCACTGTACCAGGCCCACTTAAATGGCCAGAATCCTGATATTACCATTTAACATGCACAGTTTTTAAATCCAAATTCTGCATAGTATGAATAGAGAAATGACATCTAATATAGTTCAAAGAAAGAGTTAGAAAATAGGTTTCTAAGCATTTTCTAGCTGCTTTGCTAATTTAAGACTAAGACCACAGATGTCTTTTTATTTTAACAACACAAAAAACTAAGCAAATGTCTTACTTTCTGCAAACAGGGGTGTGTGTCGGGGTAAAGTTCATGCTTTCTTTTTCACACCTGTCAAATAATACACAAAAATTCAGATTGAGAGGTTAGGAACAGAAAGAAAAAAAAAAAAAAAAGCAAAACATCATACTATGCATGTGTGTGTGTATAGGTAGATTGGTTTCTTATTCAACATCTTATTTGCCTTGTTTGCAAGAATATGATGTTCTAATTTCTTGATTTGAATTTCCAAGTATATACTGGACATTTTCACTTCTATGCCACATTGGAGACTCAAATGTCTAACTTTAAAAAAGTGACTCATATAACACGATTTTTAGTTTCTCAAATCTAACATTTGCCAAACCAAATCTATCATTTTCACCCAAACATGCTTCTTTGACTTTCCTATTATAGTCACATGTTATCCTCCATCTCCTTAATATCCTAGTTCAGGTGCATAATACTTACAGTTAACAATTGTTTAGCATGTTGGTATTCTATTTATTCCCACAACTCTGAATTTCTTTTAAACCCTTATTTTACAAATGAGAAAATTGAGGCTCAGACTAACATGAGATTAGGGAATACTGGAACCCTGCTTCATAACGGCCAAATCCTGTACTGTTTTTCCCATTTCATCTCACTGTTACAGCTCCCCATTGCTCGGCGCTGCCACGGTACTCTTTATGCAGATCTAACTTCCCTTTTTTGTTGTTGTTGTTAAGTGCAGTGGAGTCGATTTCGACTCATGGAGATCCTGTACAGGGTTTCCAAGGCAGTAAATCTTTACCGAGCAGAAAGCCTCATATTTCTCCCGGAGAGAGGCTGGTGGGTTTAAACTGCCGACCCTGTGCTTAGCAGTCCAGTGCCCCTCAAAAACCTCCATATTTCAGGCTATCGTTTCTCCTTTATGCAGTTTTTCTTCATCACAAGTTTTTTTTAATCAAGGTCTAAGCCCACGCACTTTAAACCGGAAAGGCATTACTCACTTCACACAAAGCGTCCGTGTCACAGAGTCCAACCGAAAATAAAAGTTAAATCAAGGAGTGTCGCGGCGCCAATGCGTGTCTACAAATCCGGCCAATCGCCCACGAAATTACATGACTCTTTGGACTGCGCACTACCAATAAGAAAGCTACTCACATAGAGGCCCGCCCCTCCTGTTTCCGCGCAGAAATCCCCGGGAAATGTAGTTTTCCTTCTGTAGCCAACTGTCCAGCCAAGGGCTGAAACTCAATTCATCTCGGTACTGGTAGTTCTACGTTGTAGTTCCAGCTACTCCCAGTATAAACTTGCTCCAACTACTTTGTTTTCATTAAAAAATGTTGTAGAAATGCGATGCATAGGCATGAAATGGTTCATAGGAACACTTTCCGTTGTATTTGTTGTTGTTAAGTACTGTGGAATCGGTTCCGACTCATAGTGACCCTGCACAGGATTTCCGAGGCTGTAAATCTTTATGGGAGCAGAACGCCTCATCTTTCTCCCGCGTAACAGCTGGTAGTTTCGAACTGCAGACCTTGAGGTTAGCTGCCCGATTCGTAAACACTACGCTACCAGAGCTCCTTGTATAGTGCATACTATTTATGGCGTAGTTTACAAGCTCGTCTCATCATCACAATCGTTGTTACGCTGTGATTGTGCTGTAAGTGTGCCAATTGCTGCTGTAAGTGTGCCAATCCAGCTTGTTGGGGATCTTCGTCCTTTTCGCTTACCTTCCGCTTTATCAAGCATGATGTCCTTCACTAGGGATTGGTCCCTCCTGATAATATACCCAAATTATGAGAGACAGTCTTGCCATACTGGCTTCTAAGGATCATTCTTCCAGCACAGATTTGATTGTTCTTCTAGCAGTCCATAGTACTTTAATATTCTCAAATACCACAACAAAAATGCATCAGTTCTTAGGCAGTCTTCCTAATTCATTATCCAACTTTCACATGTATATGAGGCTGTTGAAAATATCACATTTTGGGTCAGGCATATCTTAATCTTCAAACTAACATCTTTGCTCTTGAATAGCAGATTTACCTAATGCAATACATCATTTGATTTCTTGACTGCTGCTCCATGAGTGTTGATTGTTGTTGTTGAGTGCCATCGAGTCGGGTCCGA